GTATGGCGATTCATTCGACTGTAGTGTGGCACAATTTTGCCCTTCTCGGTCTTGGCGTGAAGGAATTGCTAATATGAGTCTTGGCTTAAATACCAATTGGGCAGATTACATTGACATCCTAGCTGTGCACATATCATGCTTGCTTTAATTTTGGTACCATTCCCCTTTAAATTTTTAAGCTTTGTTAATTACAATTTCCCTTCGACCAGGTTTCCCAATAAAATTCATAAATAGTCCATAGCGGAGAGTTCCATACACGGACATCACTCATCTTTTGCACAAGCCTTAGGCATATGACACTGGTCTGAAAAATGTCAAGTATTTTCCAAGTAAATGTTTTGATATTTTCCCTGCTAAATTTGACTTTTTAAAGACATTTTATCGCTTTCTGGTGGGAGATACACCACTTACAGGGAAAAGTGAATGTCTATGTGGGGACCCTTACCGTTCATAGTCATTTTATTAGCTTCCAGAATAATGCTCTTAAGGGTCATTGTTTTTGTATCAAAATAAATGGCCATAAAAGACAGTACAATTTAAGTGAAGAGCCTTGATATCAAACAAATCCACTTTCCCTGTTTTATTGCAAAATATGTGGCCAAATGCCAGCCCTTTGAAATTAACTACAAACCTACATAACAGTTTGAAAAGTTATCAGAACAATGTTTGTGTCTCTGACTCCAAAGACCGCCATTCTTACTGAGAAAGGCGGCCTTTTCTCTTGTAAATAATGGACCAAGCATTTCAGAATAATTATTTGCTGAACTTGAAATTCATAAGATACAATTTGTCCTATTATTCTTAGCCAACGGCAGAAGAAAATTGCAGTCAAAGATTTGGAGCCTTTCTCTAGTCTTGAAGTCTGTGATGTTGAAGCTGTGAGAGGGACCAACTGATGTATGGAGCCGACTTAAGACATCTTGAGTCACAAGGTCAACCAACTAACATCTAAGGAATCCAAGGCTGCTGGGCACATCTTGCATTCAGTCTTGTAACCACACATTGATGACTTGGTCCAACCTGCCAACGGTGCACGTCACTAGAAAGAGCAAATGAAGAAAATAAATGTATTAATTTAATCATTTAACACTTAGTTATTCAATTGCAATCTCCAAGTGGAAGCTACTACAAAGCTGATATTTGCAGTCAATGATTCTCCAGAAACCTTGACCTGGACTTCACAATTTAAAAGTTAAAATGAGGAAAATTGGAAGCATCTACAGGTCAAACTGACTTTCTAGCCATTCCTGAAGCACAT